TAGATCAAAATATTTTTATTAAAATTTTTGCATAATTAAATATTATTTTAAACAATATTATATTACAGAAAGACAATAAATATTTTACATTAATATTTTAATATTTTTATTTGTGCTCACTCGCTAGCACAAATAAGAACGCCAAAACGACGTCGTTTTGATTACTAACATGTAAAAACAACAAACATAGAGATTTTATGCATTTTTAAAATAAGTTATATAACAGTTGTTGAATTATTTGATACAGAATGATTAAGTGGTCAAAATGATTAAGAACCTTTTTATAATATAGTATAAAATAAAATATAATTATTTGGTAATTATTCAGAATGAAATTAAAGTACTGAATGATTAAAGGAGACTCAATATACAAAATTATTAAAAATGTTTTAGAACCATTAAAAGACAGACTTTTTTCTTGCCAAACAAAATTATTTTTTTTGCGATTCAAAAGCTGTCTCTTAATGAAACTATTAAGATATAAACAAACAACGCCTAAATCTCCATATTTTTATTTATATTTGTTCTAAAATAAGTATTTATTTTCAAATATAAATAAATAAATTTCTATTAAATCCTTAATTAATGCATAGATATTTAAGAGTTAATAGGATAAATAAATCAATTATAGATAAAGTTGTTATTTAATTAATTAAAAAAAATGTAACGATTACATGTCTAAAATTTTATATCATTTTCATTGTGGACATTTATTTTAGGACGAAAAAAGTATCATTTTTGTTATTTTCTAAAATATAGTTTTAGTAACGGAGGAGTTCAGAAAAACCCAAAAGATTTTGAATAATTTTTTAACAAATAATTTTTTTTGGATAAAATTGATTAAATAAATTTTTAACCTATAAAAATGATTATCTTTTTTGTTAGATATTCATGAATTCTTGATTTTTGTGTTGAAAATTAAAATATATATGTTTTATTATAATATATAGTGACTTGAGACCACATGAAACCACCCTATTTTCATGAGACCCGTGAGACTATTTTTTTACGTTTGAAACTTCACAAAAGAAACGCTATGAATGTTCGACTTTTTTTTTACCATTTCACAACGTTTTACTGTGAAGTTTCAAGTGTAAAAAGTGATCTCATGGAACCCAAGCCATACATAGTTTGTTAGATATTCATTGTATGTTTGTTACAATGAATGTTGTTTGTTGGTTAGATTCTTTTGTTGGATTTTGTTTACTGGGTTTTGTTATCACTTTGGGATTGTAATAAAACATTGTAAATTCAACTTTTGGTACAAAATCAGTACCACTATGCACCAAGCGGGAAAAAAAAACTGTACTGATATCAAGTAAAGTTGGTTAGTACATGTTATAAGATTTTGTATACCAATTATAATTGATTGATTAACGATATATGGGAAAAAGACCTGGTACCATACCATGTTCACCCCTAAATGAACATCATATTTTGTCTGTTTTATTGATTCTATTTGAGAATCTATTTAATTGGTTTTATAAAGTTTAGACATTTATTCGTTTAAAAAATTGTCCAAGTATTTAATCGTTCAAAATTCAAAAATAGGCTGTTGAGTTTTTTTCCAGACTTTTGTTATGATTTTATCACATTAACTCATATATATAACTCAAAATATCTATTTAATCGATTTTAGAAAGTCTATTAATTTCTTTTTTCTAAAATATTATCTAATAACTTAATCGTTCAAAACAGAAAGAAAAATAAAACGGAGCTCTACCAACCGAGCTATATCCCCCCGAGTGGAAACAAAAGGACTAAAGTCAACCACAAGAGTGATGTCTGATTGGTTTGATCTTGGGTTCTAAAGATCAAAAGTGCATGGAGATCCCAGATTCAAATCAAGAAGAAATAAAAATCTCATTGTGGTCATGGAGGTTCAAATGCGTTGACTCCAGACTACCCACAAAGCAGGTGGTCATCTAAGGATTAGTCAGCTCATATAACGGTTTAGATATTCAGGTTAATAAGAAAAGAACTAAATTCAATAGGAAAAAGTGTGAATTAATTTTTTTTCCATACTAGAAAATTTTGTGTTAAAAAAAAGGTCAATACATACATAGTAATATATTTTAGATCAATTTTTATTTATGTGATTTATATAAATTTCTACTTTATTTTAATGGATTTAATTTATAAAGAATTAATAAAAATTTATTATGAAAGGTCTATAGAACATCTCCAACTCCAAGCTCTATGCTATAATTTTTTTTCCTAAAATAAACTATTAAAATTTAAAATATCTAAATAAATACAAATAACTCCGTTCATTATTATATTTTATTACTTATAATAATAAATATTAATTAATAAAATATTATTTTTCTTTCTTAAATATTTATTTTTTATTATATCTTATTGGGAAAAAATTAAAATAATATTTATCTTTCATATATAGAAATTTAAAGATTTTTTTTATTTTTTATTTCTTTTTTCTATTTTAGAATACAAGATAATAAATAGGTGTTGGAGCATAAAATTCTTCGAAATCACCAAATTTAGATATATTTAGAGCATCTGCAACAACTATGCTAAAATAGATTTTTTTTGTTGTTGGAAATTTGGGTATATTTTTGCTCTAACAGTATGCTATACTGTTTGATAAAATAGAGAAAATAATATTTAAATTTGGAGAAAAATAATATTTAATTCTTTCTCATCAATAGGAAACATTGGAACTGATTGTTTAGGAGATAGAAATAAAAAAAATTATTAAATGTATTGAATATTTTAATAATATAATTAATGACAAAATTGTTAAAATAGAGTAACTGTTGGAGTTGGATGTAATTTATTCAAGGATTTTAACTCTTAATGCTATAAGTTGAAAAAAATTATAACATAGTTGTTGGAGATACTCTAGACTCACAAATAAGTTTAAACAATTCCTTACCATTTTAGAATTTTCTCTTAAGTTCTTGTTTTACTGCTATGACTACACAATAAAAAGTTATATCTGATGATTTTCCAAAGTCGTTTACTCTTAGTAAACAGCTATTTTTTCAACCAACAACTATCTTATCAGTCAGTTTATCAAATATAGTCTAAAAAACTTGTATATTTTTGTAACGTGAAAGAAGTCAAAGGTTGACCTTTGAAACTAGTTACAACAAGTAAGTAATAAATGTAATATTATATTTAAACTTTTCCCAACAATAAATTTTCTTTTTATTAATGATATTAAAAAATAGTAAATTAATTGGATTCTCAAAAAAATATTTTGTTCTTTTTATTAATAATATTATTTATTTTTTTGTCAATTAAATAATATATATATTTATTTTTAAGATTCATATAAAAACCAGATAATCATAGCAAATACAACTGATCGACATTTGAATATGCAAAACAGATAAAAATGGTGGGTGTCGTTCATTTTATTAGTTTGTTGTAGTTTACTACTGATTATTGATGCATTGAAAGAGAAATGACATTTTTATTTTGTTTTATAAGTGTAATGATTTATTCATTAAAAAACAATGTTCATAAATTTAATTGCTTGAAATGTGAAAGTTTGTTGGGTTTTTTTTATTTTATATTAATAAGATCACGGGATCTTATTTTAATAAATTTATAAATTATTTGTTAAAAAATTAAATACTTATCTGTTTGTTAGCAAATTAATGAATTTAATGTGATTTACAGCTTATTCAGTCAGTTATACATGATTGTTTGATTGTAGACTAATAATAATAGAAAATGACTTATTCAATAAGCTTTTAGTGATAGCTTTATACAAAAAACCAAGTTTTTTTTACTGTTAAAACCAAAAACATGTTTATTTTTTATAACAAAAATCCATTTAGTGTTGTATGGTAAAACAGGGATAAAGCACACTGAAACAGATGACTAATACGAACCCGTGACGTCATCACCGACCATCATTTTCTTTTTTACTTAATAATATCATTTAATTCTTTTTCCACGTCACAAATGCAAAAATAAAAGTTCATTTTAGACCTTATACTTTTGGAAGTTCTATAAAACAACCCTTAATGTTTGAAAACTTTCCCATTTCTCACTAATCTCTATATATGTTCACAATTTAGACCAACAAATACTTGTTTGAAGTAATTCAAAAGCATACGTGAATGTCTAATAAAGCATTAAATATGATGGAACCTTGATATGCAACCATAACTTGTTTATAATTAACATATATGTTTGAAGTTTTTATTAGAACACTTATACCTATGCAAGCAAGCTGGTCGTCCAGCGTCTTCATATCATTCAATGTCATCAACTGAGTATGTAGATCAGTCATCAATAAGTAAAACCCAGAAAGCACACTTACATTCATTGCCATGTTTCACTTGCATCGTAAAGTGTAATTTGGTCCAAAAATGTAAATTCACCAAAAAAGACCATTTGGAAGTCATTGACAAGGTTCTAAATGTCACAAAATTATTGAATTAAGGACCATTTATGAAACATGTTACAAAACCAGGGGCTAAAACTGAAAGTTAAGACAAATTCAGAAAATTCCAAAATCACCCCTGGCTTCCGGTCCGGCGCGGCTCGCTGCATAAAGCCATAAACCATATACATATGCATAATGAGCCACGAAAAACCTATAGATATACACTCATATATACATATACATATACATATACATATATGTGTGTGTGTATGTGTGTGTATGTGGGTGTGCAAGTAAGAGAAACAGGTCAAAAAAGAAAACGAGGGGAAGGAGGATTGAGGTTCTTTTTCCCTGATAAAACGATTAAACACAAGTTTCACACACACACAAGCATTCATAAACCTCTTTTCACTACTTCCAAAGTTTTCCCCCAATTTTCCTTTCCCTTTTTCCAATCGCAATCCCTCTGTTGTATATCACCTTCGCAAACCCTTAGTCGAGGTGAATTTCGCAAAATTGGGTTGATTTCTCTAAGGATTATAGCGTTAGATATACGTCAATCCTTATATATAATCAGCAATTGCATACATATATATCTCTACATATATACAATTGTGTTTGCGTCGGAAATCTTGTAATGGAAGAGAATCGGCGGTCTCCGTTGCCGTCGTTGTCAATCCCTTATCCGAACTCGATTCCGGCTGAAAATTGGGTCGCCGGTGACGACCCGATTCGTGAAGTGTTGAATTGTGTTTACCCGACTCTCGACTCTGAAGAAAAGAGGAAAGACGTCATCGAATATATGCAGAAGCTCATCAGATGCTCGGTCGGAGTTGAGGTCTACTTCATCTCACTACCATTTCATAAATTTTTTGCATGCGTTCATTATTCGGATCCGGATCTGGATCGGATCGGGTCAAACATGGGCGTGGATTTGTGTCAACTTTTCTTTTTCCCCCCAAAAAGGATTTTATAAATTTATTTATTTTTGTCTGATTCTTTCTGTTTTTTCATACCTTTCTGATCGATGGTTCTTTAAACTGATCAATGGATTCGATTCGATTCGATTCGATTTTTTGAAGTCTTTACCACCTTCAAGTTTTCAAATGAATTCAATTCATTTTCATGTTTGATGCATAAAATTAGGGATTCAATTGACCATCCACCCGATTCAACTGAACTTTCAGGGTTTTTCTGGGAATTTTGTTCATGATCCTGTTGATTATGAATTTCTGTTCATGTTTTTGATGATCGATATCAGTTATAATTCATCACGATGTTAGAGTTTCTGTTGTTTTCAGTGTGTGTATGAATATATATATATATAGACACATATATGTATATATATATATATGAATATATATATTAGGTTTGTATTTATATGTATGTATATGAATGTGAGTGGTGATTTCATTACTGTTACAGATTGTTCTTTCTGCTTCATTCAGCTGTGAGTTTATGAGTTCACTGAAGGGTTAAGACTTTAAAGCTTCATCCTTTTAATTTTTTCATTCGGATTTTCACAAACGATTATATTTCTTAAAGTTTCGATCTCCGATCACTGATCCGTGAGGATGAATCTTGATTTTATAGATTTCGCATATCGGGTTTTCGATATAATATTTTCTTTTGCCATAAATTTTACTGTTAGGGGTTTAAAAATCATTATTTTTTTTTGCAATAATGAGCTTTGATGAGGTCGGGTTTGGGGGTACGATGTATGCAGCAGACCTTTCCTCTCCCCTATAGGAGCATTATCTATACTATTTGTGGTAGAGGTCAGATCAGCGTGCATCTTAACCCTCCGAACCTTACTTTCAAATGGGATTTAATTACTGTGTCAGTCCGGTTTTGGTTTTCTTGATCCCACTTGTTTTGGTTAACTTTGGCCCCTATAAGTTTTGAGTCACTTTTGTAATTCCGGTTGGAGTGTTAGCTAACGATCTTTAGAAGTCGCATGCATCCGAAGGCGTCTCGTTTTGACATAATTGGCGTTTTATTTGGAACGACGTCTGTTGAGGCCTTCCGCGCCATAATAATCTTGATATGTTTCTTTCTATTCCATATCTTATCGGCAAATGTTTAAAGGTGTTAACTTTTCGATATCTTGTTGAAATGATGATAACAGTTTTCGATTTCTTGCTAAATTTATTATAGGTCTTCCCGTACGGTTCGGTTCCATTAAAGACTTATCTCCCAGATGGAGATATCGATCTGACGGTTCTTAGTGTTCCTAACATGGAGGATGTGTTACCTCAAGAGGTTCTTTCTGTTCTTCAATCAGAAGAACAGAAAGAAAACACCGAATTTGAACTGAAAGATGTTCAGTTCATTGATGCCGAGGTTATCCTATTTCTTTTTTATTCTTAAACCCTCAGAATTTTAAGAATTTTAGAATCTTGTTTCTTTATTTGCATCTACATATGATTATTAGATTTCACCATTTTCATCATCAAACACAAAATATTCAGTCAAGATTCTTAGTTTATATTCATATGTGAATGGTTCTTCTGTCAAAACTCAACAAGATTCACTTCTGGCTTCAAAAATGGAAGGTGAATGGAAATTTATGTATAATCTTGGGTTATTACTTAATGAAGTTCATGATTTTCCATCTCGGATGGATTCGACGACTTCGATTATGAATTCTAGCGTTAAACATTGATCTTCTAAAGTTTCTTATTGCAACGATTCTTGAAAATCTTGACGATTTGGGGTTATAACGTTTCGAATGGCAGGTCAAACTCGTGAAATGCATTGTTCAAGATATTGTGATCGATGTTTCGTTTAATCAGTTGGGGGGACTTTGTGCACTCGGTTTTCTTGAGCGGGTACGCTTTGTTTAAATCTTTTCGAAAAACGCGTGCATGATTCATTGCATGCATGTCGAATATCCCAACGTAATCGTTATAGATATCGGACCCCCGAGAGTTTTTTATTTGCGTTTTTCAAGTTCTTCAACGGGAGAAAAAGGAAAAAGGGAAATGAAATATATCATTTTTACAAATATACCCTTTATATTCGTAGGGTAATTTTGTCATAAGATATACTCCTTACCTTAGAAAAGGTTTCGAGAACACAGTGTTGTTGATCCTCGCATTTTTCCGTTATTTATCGTCAATTCTAATACCATTTTCGGTTGTTTTATTTCGCGTTTGTTGATGCAGGTCGATCGGGTTATCGGCAAAGACCATCTTTTCAAACGTAGCATTATGCTGATAAAAACATGGTGTTACTACGAAAGCCGAATCCTCGGTGCACATTATGGGCTCATATCTACATATGCATTAGAAACTTTAGTTCTATACATATTTCATGTCTTCGGTGCATATCTAAAGAGCCCGCTCATGGTAATCTCTCGTCATCTTATCGGTTTACGACTGCGATATAATCCCGACCCAACTTTTACGATTTCTTTCGTTTTGCTCGTTTTTAGGTTCTTTATCGGTTTCTGGACTATTATAGCAACTTTGACTGGGATCACTATTGTATCAGTTTGGATGGTCCGGTTACCAAATCTTTCTTGCCTAATAGAGTCGGTAAGAAACGAGCCGTTATCGACGAGGTTTCTCGTGTGACGGTTAAATACTCGCTTCATTACGACAAAATCGACTTTACGGGACGCCAAAGATATGTGAATATCATGATATACTGCTTTACAAGACTTAATTTATATGACCAAACAATTTTGGATTGTGTTACAATAGAATGTGACAACAATTTTGAAATAGAGTATTCTATTAGTTTTTTTTATTAACCTGGATATCCAACCCGCTATGCAAGCTGACTAATCCCAGGACGACCACCTGCTTTGCAGATAGCCCGGAGTTACCGCATTTGAACCTCCGTGGCCATAAAGGGGATTTTTATTCCTCCTTGGATTTGAACCTGGGACCTCCTTGTACTTTTGACCTTTGAAGCCAAGCTCAAACCAATCAGGCACCACCGTTGTGGTTTATTAGTTTTTTTATGTAATACTTTTCGAAAAGTATCATATGAATGCATATTTTTATAAGACACTTGTTCTAATAAATTATTATTTTTAAATAAAGTCATATAAAAAGGCTAATAGGATGATTTTATTTCAAAATGGTTCTAAAAACATGTTAAGACGTCCAAAAGCGTCTTATCAACTTATTGTAACACATTTAAACATGACATACAATTGTTTGGTCTTATAAATGTAAGTCTTATCAAGCGGTTTATAATATGGTGTCCTACGAAACCGATTTTTATAGTGATTTCTGATTTTGATTCTCATTTTTTGCAGTCGAGAGCCCCGTAAATCAAGGAATGGGTGGCTTACTGAGCGGAGAATTTCTGAAAAACTGCGCGGACATGTTCATGGTACCTTCTAAGGTATCGGAAACATATGTGCGAGCTTTCCCCATGAAGTATCTCAATATAATCGATCCTCTGAAAGAAAACAACAATGTCGGCCGAAGTGTTCATAGAGGTAATTGATCATATAACTCTTAGTAGTGATTTGAAGTTGATACCGTTAGAATATGTGGAACCCCTTTGAATCTCTCTCTAAAAGAGCCTGTATGGAGACAGTATACGTTTCAGTATAACTAAATCGTCAAATATGTCTAAATAAATGTTCTTTTAGACTGCTTTATTGCACTTAACTTTACGGACCAGACAATTTTGCATCTTATGTAAAGGTGTTACAATAAGTTGCAAGGACATTTTTGGGCGTCTTAACAAGTTTTTAAGACATTTTTGAATCTAAATAGTATTTTTTTTATGACATTATTTGAAAAAATATCTTATAAAAAGATGTGTTTATATGACACTTTATTTCGTTACCGTCATATAAACTTGTTACGAATCCCAAATACGTTCTAACATTCTATTATAACACCTCTACATAGATTTGATGTTCTGTGTTTAGCTGATGTAATACTCTTAACTAACGGTATAAGTTGTTTTCATGCATCTTTACGTTTTTTTTTTCTTGATAGGAAATTATTATCGTATACGGAGTGCGTTCAAATACGGCGCTAGTAAGCTCGGTGAGGTACTAGAATCACCGAGCGGGAATGTTGGAGACGGGATCAAGAAGTTCTTTGTGAACACATTTCAGAACCATAAATCAAGATACATTCTTGATGCAACTTTTCGCAGTTCGTCGACATCTTCCTTTGGTGAAGCGCATTATGAGGACGAGAATGCCGATCTTGACGACTATATATCAGGAACAGGAACCGATGATTTGTCCGCTTTCGAATCTATTGAAACGGTTGATCTTTCCGCATTCCAGTCTCTTAATCTGGGACCGGCTAACGAGCTATCCGATGGGGATATGAATTCGATGGAGGGTTACTTTCTTGATTTCAGAAAACGGGATGCAATTGGTGGTATCAGTGACACCGAAAATCTGAATCCGTTGGCGGATCTCACCGGCGATTATGATAGTCACGTAAGGAGTCTGCTATATGGCCAATGCTGCCATGGTTACGCTTTATCTTCTGCCTTAATTCGCACCAGCCCTCCGGCTTCATTTTATGGTGGTCATGATCCATGGGAGGTAGCGGCTAATCCATGGGAGGTGGCGGCATATCCATGGGACATGGCGGCTAACCCATGGTCCTCACCGTTCCAGCCGAGTTCATCGTGTCCTCAAATGAACCCGAACAGTGCGGTGAGTCGATACACACCATACTTCACTGGTCACAACATCTCACGAGCGGGTGAACCCATCCATTGGGATGAAAGAAACCCAGTTCGCGGAACCGGGCCATACTTTCCTGTTATGGTACGTTCTAATCCTTTAGGTCGTTTGACACACTACAAAAAAATCGGCATCATAGGACGTCAAATATGTCTTATTTTCCTAGTAGACGGTTTTATAAGATTTAAGCTATAATTATAAGAGCAGATAACTGTGTCCTATCAACTTATTGCAACACCTTTACATGAGCTAAAAACTTACAGGACAATTTATTTCAAAAATTGTCCTAAAAACTTGTTAAGACGCCTATAAGCTAAGCGTCCTATCAACTTATTACAATATTTTTACATAGGACGTATAATTGTTTGGTCCTATTACTAATTCCTATAAAAGCAGTCTATTAAGACATTTACACATATTTGGCGTCAATCGATTTTTATTGTAGTGACATTTTCTTTTAACGTGGATCGGAAACACATTTCTTTTATTGTCGTGAGTCGTGAGTCCCGTTTAATTTCGTGGATTGTCTCATAACGGATTCTTGCAGAACTCCCCAAGAGGAAGGGGAAGGCACAGAGGACAGTGCTCAGCTTTCCGTCAGCAGCAGTGGGTTCGTAGGGGCCCTGCTGAAATGAACCCGGTTCGTGTTGAGATGAACCCGGGTCCTGTGGAAATGAACCCGGGTTCAGAAGCTAGCCATGAGGGTCCAGACCCAGGTGAGCAGTCCTCACCGCAAAGCCATGGTCGGGTTGGTTCGACCAGGCCCGTGAACAGACAAAGGAAACTCGAGTTTGGATCTTTTGGCCCTGTCCCAGAGTCGGCTTCCGATGCAGAAGCTTCTCCGTCTTATGTTGTATGTGGTAGAAGACCAGGAAGGTAACGTAAATAACTCGGTATTCCTATTTTCCGTTTTTCTTACTACAAAAAATTTGGCTTTATAAAACGTCAAATATGTCTAAGTATCTTAATAGACTGTTTTAGGACTTAAGTTGACAGAACCAAACAATTGTTCATCCTATGTAAAAGTGTTACAATAAGTTGATATGGCGTTTTTGGGTGTTCTAACAGCTCTTTTAGAACACTTTTAAAATAAAATGTCCTATTAGCTTTTTTCAAGGCACTAGTTTTTACGAGATATTTTTCAAATAGTGTTTTATAAAAAAAAACTAATTTGACACTTTATTTCAAAACTGTCCTAAAAAACTTTTCAGGACGTTCAAAAACATTCTATCAACTTATTGCAACACCTTTACATGAGACAAACATGTGTTTGGTCCTATAAGACACTTTATTCGGACATGTACACATATTTTGACGTCCTATAAAGCCGATTCTATTGTAGTGTGTGTTTTGTGAGTACATCGCTCAAAGATCTTTCGTGTGCGCTTTTTAACGTTGTCAGGATCAAAATTGAGTCGTTCCACCTCAAGAATGAAGACGAGTTCCCTCCTTTATCAGCTTGATATCGAAGACGATATGCGAGCAAAATGTATAAAGAAAGAGCTAGTCTGCATGTCGGGTTAATCGTTAGACGTTAACATACAAAACATAAACTGATCTTCGGAAAAAACCTCAAAAAGTACAAAAAAGGACCAAGTTTGTTTCGAAGTTTTTTCTAGTTTTCTCTAAAACTTCTTGCTTGTTGTGTGATAAATTGTAAAAAAAATGTTTAAAAAAAATGAAAAAATGAAAAAAAATGACAATTGTAAAATGCTTTTGTGCTCCTTTTTTTTTTAATCTGTCGGTAGTTTATGGATTTAATTAAAATCTCATTTAAGGTTTTTATGATTTCCGCCACTCTTTCCATGGCGGCCTGAAACCGCCATAAATGTCGGTTTCCAATGCCGAAAGTTCGATCGAGGTATGATTTTCTTTTTCGATTTTGAAAATATTACAGTTATTGTGGTTGGAGTTAGAGATCTAGTTTTAAGGGTTGTTTACCAAGCGCTTACCCGGTAAGCACTTACAAACAAGAGTCATCACTCTGAGTTACATTATGGGCTAACATTCCCAGCCATCGAAATGGATTAATAATAAGCGTTTATAATCCGGTTAACGCTTACCGGATAAGACTTTTGATCTTTGTCTTTACTCTTACCGGGTAAAATTCTTGGTCCTTGTTATGTTCATCCACTAAACTAAATGCTTAGTAAACAACCCTTACTACTTGGTTTCACATAGTTTGGTGTTATTAGTTTTCTTTTTATATTTATTCTTTTGGTTGTTATTGTTTACTGTTTACTGTCTAATGTCGTGTTTGTTTTCATTTAGGTATATAATGTTAAATGAGATTTTAATTAAATCCATAAAGGCTTGAATGGTATGATTCCTTCGTCACCCCAAAATGAAAGGGGTGATCTCGTAGTTTTTGATCTGTGAAAATGCGTTGTTAGGTGTTCCATTTTATTTTCCCATTGTGGCCGAACCTAAACCTGTGCTCGAGAGATATCTGTCCATACACTGATAAGACATGTATGGATTCTCGAGAAGAGAGGAGCCATAGTGGTCTCCTTCGGACCGTCCAGCTCCCACGAGTGAGTCGAAAGTTGGATCTAAGATTAGAAGAAAAAAATGGTTTTATATTTATTAAAAAATTATTAATTTAATTAAAATCTTATTTAAAATTATATATTTAAATATTGGGGTATCCACTCTCTTGCCATTCATTTTTTCTGCACAACTTTCAGAAAACTTTTAGACAGAATTTGTTTGTTCAAAACTTTTTTTACAAGTTGAAGGTCTTGATTTTTCAAAAGGGTGGTGTTTGATTGGTTTGAGTTTGGGTTTTAAAGGTCAAAAGTACTTAGAGGTTCTAGATTCAAATTCAAGGAGGAATAAAATCCTCTTGTAGCCATGGAGATTCAAATATGGTTACTTCGGACTACCCGCAAAACACGTGGTCGTCTTGCATAGCAGGTTGGATATCCAGGTCAATAAAAAAAATGGAAATTGTTTCACCATCGTTTGATATGGATGAAAGGTCTGTCTGTAACTTATTTTTTTCAATTATACTAAGTGGCCGTTTACTAAACACTTACTTAGTAAGTGTTTACCGGATAAATTTCCTCATCGGATGAACATGAGAAAGGCCAATAATCTTACCAGGTAAGAGCGATGAGAATGATGGAGAGTCTTACCTGGTAAGTGAGGATGACGACTCTTACACAGGTAAGCGCTTACCTAGTAAATTGTTGCATTCGATATGTTTTGGTGTACTAAAATTTTACGCATCAAAATAAATCATAGTGTTAACTTCTATCAGTAAGCACTCACCGGGTAAGCAATTGGGTAAATGACCCCTAAAAGTGGATGGTTTTTATTTGTTATGGATTTGAGGATTTTGTTGGTGGAGAATAATATGGGTAAGTTCTTGGTCTGTATGATGCATTGTGTGTGAAAATGAGGCTTTCTTTTAGTCTGGTTGAATTAAACTCATACTCACAAACACATACATGAAATTTTCTGGTCTTTTTGTGAATACCTGAGGGCATGGTTTGCAAGACTAAGGTCAGGTTAAAGGGCAAAATTGTAAAATTTTTTTTTGAAAGAACACCCTAATAACCATTAATTTGTATGTTATTTATATTTACATAGAAGTAATATATATATATATATATATATATATATATATATGAGCGATCAAATGAAAACCACTCCAATTTATAAAAACGGTAAAAACTACTCTCATCCGTCGTAATCTTATGAAATTTTTTCATGAAATTGTTTCATATAATACTTTTTTTGACGAAGTTGTTTCATATATGGTTATGAAATTGTTTCATATACTACTTAATGAAATTTTAATAAAAAATGTTTCATGTATTTCTTTAAAGTTAAAATAATGAAGATAATAATATTCATGATTAACATCTTCCACAATAAAAATGATTAATCAATCTCTTGTAATTAAAAAAAATGAACAAAATGAAAAATTATGATTGATGGAATGAGGTTTTTACAAACTGAGTGGTTTTCATTTGATCGTTCCCCTATATATATACATATATTCACATATGCATAGCATGCACGTGCATGGAAACCATGAAACATCTTCAATTACTTATATGCACATGTGCATATCGTACAAATTAATGGTTATTATGGTGTTTCTCAGTTTTCATTTTTAGGGGGTTTTCCCCCTGAACCTCTCTCTCTCTATATATATATATAGTCTTCACCACCATCTCAAAACGATTGGTTCACCACTAGTTATTGCAAGTGGTGAGCCCGTAATTTGTAAAATGCATTGTGTGTGAAAGTCGAGACAGTTTTAGAGGTTTTTTACTACCTATTATCTAACCAGATACGTTGTTTATCAAACACTTCTTACCATGACCAAGATGCTAACGAGGTAAGCTAAGGGACGGATTTTGACTTGGTCAATGATTAGTGTTTATGTCGGTACATACCCCTTTGTATTAAACTCAATACTCATAATACTAGTGTGCATATATCTTGATCTCTTATTTTTACTTTCAAATGAGTTATAACTTATAAGTTATAGATAGAAAAAAATCATATAAAATAACACATAATGTACTGGTTTTCAAAGTTATCACAATTTTATGAGTTCTTAAATAAGATCCCTTTATATTTATATTTATAAATTAGTGAATAAACATGTATGTAAGAATACATGCACTGTAATTTTACGTTATCTGGTTAATTACGGCTTCCATGAAAACGATGTTGAGATGAGGCCATAACTTAGGCAAGTACCGGTTGGTTGGTAATTAGCGTTTTTTTTAACTCTAATGACGAAAACCTAAATTATGATATTCTAGTAACGAAGTAAAAAAGATGACACGGTTCGCAAAATTGCATAATAAACGCAGATATGAATTCACGATCTTGAACAAGATCGGTTTGGTTTTGAGATTAATGTTTCTAGATTTTGTTTTCAACACGGTACTTTTGAATGAGATTTGTTGAGTTGATTTACTGTTAGTTTTTGGTATTTTACTACTCCCTTCTTCTTAAAATAAGTATCACATTTATATTTTAGTTTGTCTTAAAATAAGTGTTCACATATCTATTTTAGATTGTCATAGAATAAGCGTCCACTTCCAAAAGTTAATATTCACTTTCTCATTTTACCTTTAATTATAAGATGGAGAAAATTTATCCTTATTTTTAAGAGTAAACTTGTTTTTTTTATTAATTAAAAAATGTAATAATTACACATGTAAATTACATTTTTAGTCCTTATGGTTTGTTAAAAAAAATTATTTTCGCCCTCATGATTTTAAAATTCCAATTCTCATTCATATAAATTATAGTTCATTACTTTTTTTGTTCATATAATTTAAAATTTACTACTTTTTTTTTTGTTTTTATGGTTTGCAGTTCATTTTTATTTTAGTTCTTCATATTTAAAAGTAATGTTTTGACTTCAGGGGCGAAAATCGAAATGAAAACCAAAATTTTAAAACACACAGGGACTAAATTCGTAAACTTTAACAAACCAGAGGGATGAAAAACGTAATTTACTCTTTTAGTTAGTTACGAAGAGTATATTATAATATTGTTTATAATATTACAAAACAAACTAATAAGCACCAGTGGTCTAGTGGTAGAATAGTACCCTGCCACGGTACAGACCCGGGTTCGATTCCCGGCTGGTGCATTATTGTTCTTTTTATTTTTTCCCAGAATTTGTATTTTGTAAGCGCTTATCCGGTAAATTGTTGCATTTAATACGTTTTAATGTATTAAAATCTTACTCATCAAAATAAATTATAGTGTTTGACTCATATAGGTAAGCATTTGGGTAAACAGCAGCTAAGTATGCAAACTTGGTTGATACACGGTATTGAAAGTTGTGTTTCATAGTATCGACCTATTTAATTATTTATTACTTTTTAAAAAATTTACATTTTT